CCCTTTCCACATGTACCGCAAATTTTATCTCACCCGGGGTCATCTGGAGAGAGGGAGAGATAAAGCGGTTTACAGAAAGCAATGAGAGGAACTTGTGAAATGATTTTTAAAACTTTAATTGGTCCTAGACCTCTCTTGTGGTAGAAGATGGGAGCACAAAGCCTTCTATTGAAAGGCCATGACACTGTGGGCAAAAAACAAACAAACAATAAAATTAATATATTCCACTATTTTGCATACAAATATTTTGCTATGCATTTTACGATCTATTTCATGTTACTGACATAATGTTTCCTCTCAGATTCTTCTAACCTTCTGCAGGATCTTCCAGACTTTTTGATAGAAGCCTACAGGAACTCTGTTGAGCGCACCATCAAGCCTTCTTCTGCGCAGCCACTGCCCCTGCCGGTTGTCCCGCGACGCACCAACACTGATTGAGCTGTCAGATGCATCAATTGAAGGCATCCGGTACCTCTGTAAGTCACATATTAGCACAGATCAACAATCTGAGAAACTGCTTGGTTAGTGGTATGACATACTAGGGGCACACCTTTAAAGAACAACAGGGATCGTAAAAGTCATTCAAGACCTGAACAGTGTATTTGTATATTTAAACATTATTCAAGAAACATTTTCTTCAAGACAAAAGAAAATGAAAATCTACTTCACAAAAACATTGATCTGGTGATTGGGAAGGCATCTGACTTAATTCTGGTGTTTACTGACACCAAGTTTGACTTGGCTCAATACCATGGTTAAGGGCAGTAACATCCTGGGAACATCATTAAAGAAAGGTGGTGGTAACGTGGAGCATCTAGTTTATTATAATAACTCTGTATTTCTTGGCCATAGAGTGCTGCAGAGATTACATATTTTTGTAGGTCAAGCCAGAATATCACCCTGGTTCCCTTAACATCCATTGGCTTTTGGATTATTGCAGAAAATAAGCTCTGTGACCAACAAAAGTGTATGATTCTTACACATTTTCTTCACCTAGGCAATCTTCACTAATGAATACAAATTTTATTAATTTTAATGCCTAAAAACAACTGTCAGAATTAGAAAACTAAACATTGGCTATAAATGAACTACAGCATTGATGACACTTAACGTCTCAGACAGCCACTGTAGTCCCATTTACTCACTTGTTTAGCAACAGCCTTTTTCAAGACACAAACGCTTGGCAAAAAAATCATGAGCATTACTCCCATATTTTTTGTTGTACAGTAGAATATAATGTGAAAACATCTTGAGCTCGTGTTAGCCGTAAACCTTATTTCAGGCTTTTAACCAAAAACCAATTTACCCATAAAAACATTTACTTGAGGACGATGGAACGGAGTCAAAAATACTATGTTTATGGGTTTTAGGACTCATTTCTGCAGCACTCTATTATATGATCTTATTTCATCAAAAACAAGTCCACTGCTTACAGCATTACAGATACCTTGCTACATTTAACAAAAAAATAAAGACATATCTTGTAAAGTTCCATATTAACATCTATTCCATATTGTCGATTTGACTGATAAAACCTACCCATATTTTATGCCACATAAAACAATTTTTCAGACACAGACTTTTTGCAGCTCTGTTAGTTTCTTAACCTTACTTGCCCTTCAAAAATCAAAGTGCAAAGCCAAAAGTTAATATGGCTTTGAAGAACTGAGGACTTACCCCTGACTCCATGTGCTCAGTGTCAAAGGATTGACTTGAAAATGTCTACAAAAGGAAAAGACAGATAGCAATGGGGGAGGTCAGTTTTATGAACTTCCCACATGACAAAAATCTTTTCAGCCTCCTTCAACAATTATGTTCTCATTACTCGTGGAATTAAACACCTTGCCATGCACCTTTAGAGCCAATGAAACCTGTATATTCTCCTTCATGTGACATACAGATTCAAACTTTAGATGTACCGTGGTTTTTCTTCCCACAGCATTAAATTCATAGACAATTAACCCACCAAATTAAGCAACTGATGTCAGTTTGTATCTTGATTTATTTTATTTTTTTTAGTTTCTGAACTTAGAGATTAGACCATTACATGAGACTGAGTCACAGCTCATGAGACACATCACCTTACTTTGGAGTGACCATGACAATCGGAGATCTTCCAGCTGAAAACATTTAAAAACTATTAAACACATAGAGACATGACATATATGGTCGCTTTAATTTTGACACAATTTAATTTATTTGATTGTGCCTTTGTAATATCTGGCCCATGCATGTTTTTGTTTCATCGATCTGGATGTGCGGTCACCTACCATCTTCATGTCACTCTTCAGTTTGCTGATGCCTGCACGCTCACTCTTGGTAGCACCAACATTTCCAACTTCATGGATGGAGATAACAGGACTGGTACCGGGTTCAACTGAACGAACTGACACACATCCAGACATCCAAACCAATCATAGATAGGGTGACCATACCTCCTCTTTTTCCCATACATGTCCTGGCCGGGATTTCTGAATTGCCTAAATTGTCCAGGTTTTAAGTGTGTTCGGCTTGAAGCAGCACTGCGCAGACCGATCGATGTTTGACAACAAAGTACCACGAGAGCTATAGAGAGCAGACGCTCTGCATGCTGTCCAATTGCTCTCGCGGTACTTCGTCACACACCGATTGATCTGCACAGCGCCGCTTCAAGCCAAACACACCGATTGGATTTGTTTTCTATTGGTTTCATACTTGCTAAAAGTAAAGACTGAAAAGAAGTTTGACCAACAGCATGCAGGCACTACATAATCGACCAATCATGGCACGCGAGAAGGTGGGATCTACAGAGAATGGTCAAACCAATGCAAATATTAGATATTTTAGGCAATTTAGAAATCCCGACTAGGACATGTCCAGGAAAAAGATGATGTACGGTCACCCTAATCATAGAATATTAGCTATCAATGCTGAAGTTGTATTTCTACACAAACTACACAACACTGTAATTCTCATGAAGTCACTCACCACTTCTCTGAACACCAAATTCTTTGCCGCTCAAAATGTGGTGGAGAAGATTCTTCAACTCAGAAGGACTCAGTTTCATCAGACTCTCAGTTGCCTCCTCATCTTCAACACATATATTATACAGTAGTCAACATTTGAAGTGGATCAAAAAAGTTCATCAAAGTTGTCCTAAGACAAGAACGGGTATTGTTTTGGTTTTAGGACAACTTTGATGAAAGGTTTTGATCCACTTCAAATGTTGACTACTGTATGTATGTATGTGTATATACATATATATATACACATATATATATACATATACATACATATA